TCCAGGCAAGATTAGGGCTGAGCTTTATCTCAGAGTCACAAAGGAAGGTCCTCCCTAGGGGACAGTATGCAAATGCCCTGGTGGGTGCAGTGGGGTGGAAACAGCCAATGGGGACTGGGAACCCCTCTGGTGAGCAAACTGATAAAAAATGTCTCTTTCAGGAGGACAAATACAGGTGAAATGAAATTTGCCTGTCATAGAAAGAAGCAGGATCTGGGTTTGAGAGTTTGGATGTTGGGCCAGGATACACTGCACAATATGTGCCACTCTGAGAAAGCACAAAGACCCTGATAATGTGTAATGGACACGTGTGTCTAGGGTTAACCTCTGAGAGGTGAATCCCATCCTGCTTGGACCCCTCACACTAATCTAGAGCAGGAAAGAACTCCATCCACACAAGTATCAATGGGCAGAGGATCTCCAAATAATAGGGCAGTCTTGATTTAGTTCAAGAGTTGTCCATCATCTGCTGTCACCTCTTGAAGGATGCTACATGCAAGTGTTAGATAAGGTCTTCCCCTTGGATCCGGTGATTTAACTCCATAAAAGTACTCGACAAAGGCATTGGCATGGAGAATGTTATGTGTCTCCTAGAACTCGACAAAGGCATTGGCATGGAGAATGTTATGTGTCTCTGATATTAGATAGCTAACTACTCAAGTAGTCAACCAGCTCAAGTAATAGAAAAGAGGAAAAAAAATTATTCCTCAGTAACTGAAGAGAAAATTCCTGGTGATCAATATCTCATATATGTCTCACCATAATTATCTCACAGACAACAGAGATATATAGCAAGGATTTCACATATAGCAGGCATTTCTTAAGAGAAGAGTCTCCTAGGATTATGGCACAGAATAAAAAAGAAACGACTACATTGTATTCCTGAGTGTTGTTTACAAAAACGTTTTCCACACAGTCTTGCTTGTTGTCTGGAATCAGGTCCTGTGAGGGGTTCTTGTCCACTCCGAGTGAGGATCTGACTCCCTGCCTTGTACTGTTAGTGGGGCAGCCACAGCCATGAGCTCACAGTTCAAAAGGAAATTCTGTGTGTGAGAAAAGCAAGAAGTCGATCCACAGTTTTATGTCTCAGGGTCGCCTGTACCTATGAGTGGCTTTCATTTGAGGATAGTCACAGCTCAAGGATGTCAGGTTATCACATAATGATCATTAAAACAGGCAGAAAACCTGACTGTTCTTTCCTTATCAGTAATGCACTGAGTATTAAATTGAATAGTTCGTGAAAAATGGTGCCTACACCAACTCACTTCACAAAGAGAGTCATTGTCCTGAAAAATAAAAACAAAAGAACCCTGGAGCAATTAAAAGAATAATTTGCCCTGCCATGTACTCCTGGGTAATTTAACCCAAAGTCATACTTAATGATAAAGAACAAGCAAGCAAACAAATGCAGTCCTAGGTATGATTCTATAAGAAATCTTGGCCTAAATATCTTCTGGGAAATCAACCAAAATAAAACATTTTAACAAGTTTGAAAGAGTTAATTGACTAAAATTCATATTGTCCTTTAAGTGTTGAAGTCCATGGCAATAATCTGGGTTGGTAATTATAAATTATGATAAGGGGGTAGGATTAGAAAAAAAAGTCTCATATTTCACTACTTAAAATTTTTATGCTTTTATCTCATTAAATATTGTCAGTTTTGTGTATTTACTTTTTTTCATAAGAATGCTGACCAATTCAATTGTGGTTCTTAGTATGGAATATGTCAGACTCCTAATTAACCATAGATGAACGGAGTCAGAAACATTAGATGGTGAAAAGAAAAAGAGAAAAAGAAACACAAAAATAACCAAATATGCTAATTAAAAAGAAAACACTGTGGTATGTATTATCATTGGATTGATTTTAAAGAATTATTTTGAAAGGGTGTCAAAGAATCAGTTGTACCTACTATCCAATATGAAAACTCGAATTGTGAGAAAATAAGAAACAGTAAGCAATATCTCCTGTTTTCTTTTAATACTAGTCATTTCTTGAGAATGTTATCTTTTCAAAGTATTCATTAAGATGCTTGAATTTTAGAGAATATTGCTGTTTTGAATGAAAATTAATTAATCTTTAAAAAGTCTGCCATTATGATTGGTTGTTTTATATAATGACAAGTTGCTTTTATGTATTCAGAAAGTGTAAAATATTATAAAAATTATTCTTTGTTCATGAAAGGCTTTAAAACTATCCTATGCTATTTATAGACTCAGGGAAAGAGAATAATATTCCTAATTTTCAGCAGGAATCTCTCCCTCCTATATGTTAATACATTCTGGCCAGGATTCAACAACAGTAGATAAAGCTGGTAACTGCATATTGTTCACAGATAATAAGAGTTAAGGGCATAAAATAATCTTGATTTGTGTCCACCTGAGCAGCAGACTGCTATGTTTCCCTAGTCTGGACCAAGGTCACCTGTCTCTTATAGGTAGATTATGTAGCCAAGGACTTAAGGTAGTTGAAGTTGTGTCTCCTTTGCCTATTGCTGTCAGTTTCATATCCATAAAATTGGAAGCAAGTATATTATTCGTAAAAATTGGGAACAGAGTCTTGGAAGTGGAATTGTTCCTGTCCATTATGTGGAGTCAGGTTTTGGGGTTGCAGAGTCAGATCCTGAATGTAAGGAGTTTGAGGGATCTGAGAAATGGTCAGGGGGAAAGAAAAGACCACAGGGTGGCAGTAGGGCACACAAGTGTGACTGTGTGAAGTGTGACAGGTCTGCAGGGAGAAGTCCCTCTCAGAGGGGACAGTCCAGAGGCTGAGTTGCCAGGGCTGCTTCTCAGAAGGAGAGGGGACACTGGAGAAGGGACCCTGTGTCACTGAGCATGTCTGCCTGAAACCATAATGTAGACACATCAGTTCCTATGATGTCCTTTCTCACTTTGTTTGGAATAAAATATGTGTGGTACTGAAACAAAAGTGCTTGAAAACTGATGTAACTGTTTGTGACCAAATATGATAAAAGTTATGAATGAAAATGTCATTAACTTTGATGGAAATCTGCATTCCCAATGCTTACATGGGAAACCAAAAGTTATTGTTGAATAAATGAATAACTTCACAGAAAATATAAGCAAATGACATGACTCGCTCTTGGCACTAAAATTGTTTACAGTGGGACACTGGTCCTGCAGTCAAGAGTGATGAGTGTAAAAGGAAATTATGTTCCAACCACAGTTTGGATTTTGTAGGCGGTTGAAAGGGGAGATAGACAATGCTTCTGATGCACAGTAAAGACATTCATTCTGAGGGTGGGGTGTGATCTTGCTCATTTCATATGCCAGTTCAGTTAATGAGTAAAATATCTGTTTAATCTTTTCTCCTTACTTGAGCTTCCATAGCTACTTTCTCTTACTCATTAGTGCCTTGGTACACTCAACTTTTGATGAAACGACTGTTATTGAGGGAATAAGGATTTTGGATTTCAACTTCCTTAGGCCTGGAGTGCTGTTCAGTTCCCAAGACAGGCAGCAAAAGATTCTGATTCCTCCTCTCACTCTGGCTAAATATTCTTCTGAGATAGTCTCTTATTCTCAAGATTTAATTAGATGTGTACAGTCTGGTTGCCAATGAACCACTTTTTATGTATTAAAACTTGAATATCCAACACCTCCTGAATTTTCAGATAAATAATTCCACCACAAGAGTGAAATGTATCGTTAATCTGAATTGTCATATTTCCAGGCAGCAGAGGGGTCCTTTGGAAGTGGGCTCAATTTTTCATTCTTTCACGCACACAACAAAATCTGAATCTGAATGGGCACTACTAAAATGCACTACAATCTGAAGCCAAGGACACTACTGTTACTTCATTTCTAAGCCATTCCCTGTGGTTCCATACTTATGCCCCTGTAATACTCTTTAGTTACAATCAAGCAACTATAGTTCCAAGGAATAAATCCAAAATGTTTACTTATCAAATAGTAAAACTTGTGAAGGACAGTTTATGTAAGTGTGTAGACAGAAAAGAAGAGGTCATCATTAACAACTGTTCACATAGTTTGAAAAATGGCTGTGGAAGAGATAAAACTTAGACATGAGGCAGCGACTCTTAAGGTTTCAGCTCTGCTGCGGGTGGGCCAGATGGCATGGTGTTGGTCAGAGCATTGCCCCAAATGCACCTGCAAAGAGCAGAAGAAGTATGCAGTATTATGCACTTTCTCTGTTCAGCCAGGCTAAGCTAGTTTTTGTTCTGGGTTGCACCACAGTGGGAGGATAATAGTTGTTCTGCTGACAGTAATAAGTTGCAGCATCTTCAGCTTTCAAGCTACTGATGGTGAGGGTGAAATCTGTCCCAGATCCACTGCCACTGAACCCTGAGGACACGGACTGGGAGGCATACTTCACGAGGAGCTTTGGAGGCTGACCTGGTTTCTGCTGGTACCAGTGTAAGCTTGTGCCAATACTCTGACTGGCCCTGCAGGTGAGGGTGGCTTTCTCTCCTGGAGTCCCAGACAGGAAGGCTGGAGACTGGGTCAGCACAATCTCACCCCTGGAGGCTGAAACCACACAAAAACCATTAGCAGAACAGAACTCATGGTATATCAAAATCACCACTAACTTAGTGAGACAAGAGCAAAGAATATACATTACTTAGAAATATATATATATATAAAAGGCAAGCAAATTGCATTCTATATGGTGCAGCAATCCAATGAAGAAAATTAGTGATTCAAAGAATAACTATTAGCTCTGTTTAAATATTCTCACCTGGAGCCCAGAGGAGCAGAAGCCCTAGGAGCTGCAATGGGGACACCATCTTGCTGGGTTTGACCTGTCAGTTTTGCTCATGCCACATCTCAAAGCAAGAGCTTCTTATACAATTCTGAGAGGCAGGCCGACTTTAGGTGTAAGAGGAAAGATACATGCAAATTATGAAGATTTCATATTGATTCAAATATTCAGAATTTATATTTGAAAGAGGAGTGCTGTACCCTGCACCATCTGTGAGTGTGCAAGGTGTCCCTCTGCTGGCCATCTGCAGATGAGCAATGCTGAGGTTCTGGCAGAGCTACTTCCAGGCTTGACCAGATCCAGGGCTCAGCAGCAGAGCAGAGCGGGGTGAAGACACAGCGTATGGCAGCCCTCTGGTAGGGTTTGCCACCATCTGAAATGAACGGTGGCTCACAATCTCAGTTTTAGCCCAGGGCTAGGTTAACTCTCCTGCTCTCCAGCAAAATGTCAGCTGAAGAAACTTTGATATGTGGACATTCCACAAAGCATCACCCCCTACAACACTATAGTGATGACATCATGTTAATTAGGTGTGATGAGTTGGAAATGTAAGGATGATGTATATTTTGGTAAAACACATGCTCCGGAGGGTGGGATGCAACCCTGTGCATTTCAAGGGCCTGTCACATTGGTGAAGATGCCATGGGTCCAGATAAATGAAGACATGCTAGATCATCTCTTTCAAGGTAAGGACAAATAATTGCATTTTGTACCCCCTACCCCTGAGAATAATGCCCAGGATAGAGTAGGCCTCTCTAGAGTGTTGAGCCAACTTCCAACTTGGATACACTATACTATTCCATTTATCAACTAATTTGGAACACTACCTTGAGTGGGCTCAGAGAAGAAGAAGACTCCACAGTAGGTTTGGGTTTTGAATACAAGTGTCTCTGTCACCTGCAACATATGAAGCAGCACATTACCTGGTACTATATACATCTGTATTAGATTAGGACACCATGTCAACTCTCTAGAAAGGCCCAAAAAGGAGTGATACCACAGACCTCTAGGGTTCTAGAGGAAATAATGCCTTCCCCAGAAACCAAACTAACAAACTATTCCTTGTCAAAACACAGCTCCCAGATTCTCACAGGGTCCTGGTAGACTTGCCCATGAGGCTTTAAGTAACTGTGTGACTGAGCTCTCCCTCATAAACTGGGAATGTCAGTCTCACCAGTGTACAAGGTTAGGTGAGGCTCAGCAGGACTGCATATTAGGAGGAAGATGGTACTTTTGGAATTAAGTTGCCAGTAGGTTTAGAGAACATGCTTCATTCATGTGGGCAGGTGTTGCAGTTCCCCTTGTCACTTTCTTCTCTTGCTCCATCTCCTCTGCATCAGCTCACTCTTATTACCTCATGGGTTTTCCCATCAGCTAATGCAATAAAGGAAAATAAAAAACAAACACATATATAAACAAACCTAAACAAAGAAGACTGAAAGAACAATGATGAAAGCTAGGATTTTCATAGGTTTGTGCGTAAGTAAAAGTGAATTTCTCCCACACTATGACCATTATCATGAGTGGCAGTGAAATTTTATTTTGACTTAGCAGATATTTGAGCAAAGCATTTGGTCATCAACCTAGTGTGGATAGAAGAGTGTGCCGAATTAAATATACATATGCATGGATTTCCTGGATAGCTGGTTGTTTAAGGTTCTGAAAAAATATCATAGGCAAGAAGCTATAGAAAAGAGGTATGTAGGTGCACTCACATGAGTGGGCACTATGTGTGCAGAACTTTATTTATTATGTTAAAACAGCAGATAATATCTACTGCAAATGAGACATTAAGCAACCCTCCATACTGGGAGACTCATCCACCACTAAGCTTATTAACTAGACTCAATCTTTTTAAAATTTTTAATTTTTTTTATTTTAGCGTAATATGGGGGTACAAGTGTTAAGTTTATGTATATTGCCCATGCCCCCCTCCTCCCTCGAGTAAGAGCTTCAAGTGTGTCCATCCTCCAAACATTGCACATCTTACTCCTTTTGGTTGTATATACCCTAGACTCAATCTTTTTTTTTAACATCCGTGGTATTTGCGCACTAGATTCTTGAGCAGGGTCACCATGGTGATCCTGATGGGGCTATGTCGATGTGCTGTGACAGGAGCCATGCCTCACTCCCACTGTCTCCACCTGTGTTGACCCAACTGCTCTCAATTCTGGGGACCTGACTCCACAACCAGCAAAGACAAATGTCACCAGGCAGTTGGTGGTAATTTGGGATTTCAGATCACTTTCCCCTGGAGGTGGCTGTGTGCATCCTTACTAGGATTCTCCTGTATTATGGTAATGTGTTTGCTTTTACTGCTTACAGAACACTGGCCACCCTAGTGTTAAGAGACTGTATGTTTCACTGATACAGAAAACTTTCAAAATCTGGGTCATACTTTTGGAAGTAACCCCTGAAGACTTATATGTTAAAATCATCTTAAAATGATTTCAAGCAGCCCTCATAAAAATGCATCCATGAACAATTGCAAACGTGCTTGATATAAATGAAATAATAGAAAACATCAGGAAGGAAATACAAAATATAACAAAGGAAAACATGGAAATCTTAAAACTGAAAGATACTATCACCATAATGAACAGCTCTGTAGATGGCCTAATAGTAGGATGGAATGTGCAGAGGAAAGAATTCTTGAGGTGGAAAATAGAATAACAGTAATGGCCCAACCTAAACAGCAGTGAGAAAATAGACTGAAAAGAAAATGAACATAGACAAAGGATAAACACAAAAAAATCTACACCAAAACACAACATACCTAAACTTCTAATAACTAAACACACACAAAAATTATTAAAAGCAGTATGAGAAAAATTATTCTTTACCTCTAGGATGAAAAAAAAACTTAAATCACTCAAATTTCTCTTCAAAAACCATGAATGTCAGAAGGAAATGACACATTTTCAAGTGCCGAAAAACAAAACAAAGCAAGCAAACCTGTTAATCTAGATTTCTATGCCCAGTAGAAATGCTCTGCAGGAATCAACAAGAAATCTAGAATCCCTCAGTTGCAGAAAAACTAAGAGAATTTGTTTCTAGCAGTCTCACCTTAAACATGGCTAAAAGGAGCCCTAGAAAGGTAAAATCAATGACAGAAGAAAGAATCTTGAAACATTATGGGGAAGAAAGACTATAAAAGATTAAAAGATAGATGAATAAAATGCACTTCTAAATAATGTGCGATGTTTGTAGCAAAAGTTTTAACACTGTCCGATATTGTTCCCAATGTCTGTAGGGGAAATATTTAGGAAATTTCTACTATCAATGGGGAGGATAAAGGGACATAAAGGAATGTAAGTTTCTATATTTGATTTAAATGGTAAAATATTTACTTCAATGTACTGTGATACAATATACATATAAAGGAAATACCACAGCAAGCATTAAAAATCGTTATAAATAGAGATACAACAAAAACTATGAAAAATAAGAATGCAATTGTAAAACCTTTCAACCTTCCCAAAGAAAGGCAAGAAAAAGAAAATGAAGAAACAGAAAAAGGTTTACCAAATACCAGAGTGAGTACAGATGTAAATCCTAACATATCAATAATTACATTAAATATATGAAGTAAGAAATTGACAAAATCTATAGGAAAAGTCACTCGCATCAAATATAACAATAAAACTAGCTTGAATATAGACGAAAGGAAAAAGGCATACTGTGAAAATATTAATACTAATAAAAAGAAAGAAGGAGGAGCTAATATTGACATCAGGGAAAGTAGACTACAGAGCCAAAGAAAATTTCCAGGGAAAGAAAGGTGCACTACATAACAAAAATAAAAAGAGTCATTCCAGAAGAAGACGGAGCACTTCTGAGTGTGTATGGACCAAACAACAGAGCAACAAAGTACAAAAACCAACAGAACAATTACATTTGGAGATTTGGACGCCCATTATCAACAATCAATAGGACAACTAGACAGAAAATCAGCACAAATATCGAAAGACTCTATATCATCATCAACCAACAGACATTTATAGAACACTCCAACCAACAATAGCGGAATTCATATTTTTTAAGTGCTCATAGAACAGATTCCAAGATAGGCCATATTCTGTCCATAAAACACCTTAACACATTAAAATTGTTAAAATTATAATATGTGTATTTTCTGACCACAGAGGAATCAAACCAGAAATCAATAATAGAAAACATAACCCAAGAATTTCCAAATACGTGATAACTAAACAACATAGTCTTTTCTAAGAATCAGCTTTTGTTGTACTTAGTGTTCACTATTGCTTTTTTGTTTATAGTTTTTCTGATTTCCACTGTAGTATTTACTATTTACTTTCTTGAGGTTTTAAATCTTTAGGAGTTAAATTGCTCCTCATTCTGTAGTTTGGTAAGGTAGAAGGTGAGGTTATTGATTTTATGCCTTTAGTTTTCACACAGATATTTATTTATGCACGTGTGCGCACACACACACATACACACAGATGCATATGTATGTGTGCATGCGCATATGCTTATGTTCATTTCAATACTATCAATTTCCCTCTAGGCACTGCTGAAAACCTCTGTGTATTTTTTTCTTCTGAGCCCAAACTACACTCATCTGCAAACCTGACGCTTTATCTACGTGTTTATTGGCCACGCAAACTGGAAGTGAACAACAACAACAAACTTCTCTTGCTTTGACCCTAATTTATTTGGCTGATATTTTATTTGCTATCAGTAAATCACAATCTAACTACTGGCTTAAGGTGAAAACCTTGGAGTCATTCCTACTCCCGCTTTCTCTCACTTTGTACATCAGAAAGTCTAATGGACATTAACTACAAAATATGGCACCGTCTGCCTACATCCCCAGTGATCTCCACTGCCCTGAGTTTAGTGTATTCCAGGAGGCACCCTGCCCTGCCAAGAGTTCTTCCTGTTCCCCACAGCCCAACCGGAGTGGTCAATTGTTAAAAACTAAATCCTATCATGGGAGTGCTCTGTTTTAAAAATATCCCATAATGCCTCACTGTGCTTTGCAAAACATTTGTCCCTGAACACAACGAAGGCCTCCTTGATGTCACTCGTATGTCACGTGTGCTGATCCTTAAGACACTGAGAGAACACAGCTCTGACCCACCACC